GGTGGGGAGGTGGGTACCCTCCCTGGCGGGCCACACAGGAGTGACCTGCGGGCCTTGAGTTTGACACATGTGATTTAAGCTAAAGAAACACTATAAAACTAACAAAAAATAAATAAAAATGTGTAAGATGGTCAGCGGTGTACCTGGAAAGGAGAGCGGATCTTGATGTACTTGCTGCCCTCCATAGAAGAAACTTGACAGACCAGGAAACGAGTGACCCCTGAGTCTAAATGCATGACGCTGTACAATCCTCTGCCCACTTTGATCAGGGGGATCACACTGGCTGAGGTGTGGCCCTCTGGAGCTGAAAAAACAGAAGCAACAGTCTGAGAGGTAAAGGACCGACTTAAAAAAATCACTCTTTACGAGAAACTTTGGAGGTTTAAAGACTGGATTTAAGATGCTCTAGTTGAGGATGAACATGTAACGTACTGGGCTGTAAGTAGTAATCCTTTTCACTCAGGGAGATCATTGCTGAGAACTGATCAGAGTCTGTTTTAGATGAATAGTCCATCTCGAAGGTTTCGCCACCCTGCAGCTTCACTGTGTGGTTGTTGGTGTGCTCCTTGTTGATTGGAGAAAACATCTCACTGTAGCGGACAGATACTGGAAGTCCTAGCCTATTTTTTATAACAAATGGAGCTTCATCCTTTTGAGAACACTCTGTGGTCTGTTTGGCAGCCTCTGCAAAGGCCTGAGGAAAAACCCAAATGCATTGATGATATACAGCTCTACACATATTTAAAGAGTTCAATAAAAACAACAAGTGTCTTACCGTGCCCAGGTTACTCAGCATGGTCAGCCCACATTTGGACAATGTGATGTTGAGCTGGTCTTTACTCCGGATGAAAATAACCGTCTTATAATCTGGGATATTGCCATCTATTTCATCTGACATACACTGAGTCACTGGCTTCTTTTTCATCTGGTTTAAAAAAAAAAAAAAAAAAAACTATTAGACGTATCATGTTTTATATGTGAATGTGTAACTATTCCACACTACCTTTAACTCCAGTGCCCACGGTCTGAAACCTTCTCTGGTCTCATCTTCTAAAGGCTCCACCAGTGGCTCCCACACTCCCAGCATCTCGTTGTAATAATGCACCTAAAAACAAAGCAAAGCACAACTTACAGATTCTACAGATGCAGGGGTTCATAAACAGTGAAAATGTAAAATAGGAGACAGATGGGAGTGAAACTAGTGGGATTTGAAACGTAGTTTCACCTCCAGGTTGAGTTCACTGTGTAAGTTAATGAGTGTGGACCAGTTTTTCACATCTCCATGAAAAGAGGACTTGGCCAGAAGCATGGGGACRGTGCGATGTCCCACGCCAGCCTCCAGAGTCAGACAGATTGATTTAATTGTGACCTGCAGTGAAAGAAACAAATGTTAGTGAGCTGTCTCAATCAGTTCAAAACAGATGAATAAATAAAATATAAAACTGATAATATGACAGCCTGTATCGGTTGCATATTATCATTTGAGCCACAATGAGGTGAAGCACCTTTAACGACTCTCCCTGGGGAATCAGTGGGGTCAATGACTTTGTGTCTTCATCCCCCTCCTCTTCTAAGAACCAAAATTTAAGTTCTTTCCAGCCTCGTTTTTCCCAAAGATCCACAGGAACAGGACTGTCCTGCTCCTGAGGAGTCTCCGCTGTGGGGGTCAGAGCTGACTGGATGGTAATTACAGTGTTGATGATGACAGGAGATACCTGGGCAGAAAGACACACCACAGGCAGAAAGTTCAAAAGGTATCACTTAGCTAACTTTTTTAACACTTAATTGATGCCAAATAGTCCATAAAAACAGATTTTCTAAAGATTTTCCATCAAAAAAAAACAACTACAAGGCAGGTTGATGCTTGCTAACAATATAGTAGATTTAAGTTTTAGATTCAAGTTTTAAATGAAACACTTGAATTTGATGAAGAAAAAATGTTGATGATATGAAATGTTGTATGATAAAAAACAAATACCTTCAACAAGAGAGAGTTGATGGAGACCTCCATAGTCTGAGGGGTAGTTGGGGACTGAGTACTGTTAAAGAACACCTGACATGGCTGCAGGACGGTGGTGACATTGTTTTTCCTCTTCTCTTTTAAGAAGGGGCATGCCATAACCTACAATGATAAAAAAAAAAAAAAAAACAATTCATAAAAACTTCAGTTTTATTTTCTTTTTTTTTTTCCAGTTTTGCATGTTTAAAACTTAAACCTTTAGATCCTTGATGACAGCATTCATCATTGACCCCTCGGCACTACTTTTCATTAGCAGCTCACACTGTGTGGTCATCACCAGGGCTGGTGCATCAGCACGAGTCAGATCAGCCACAAACACAATTTCGGGGTTCCGCACCACAAYGTTCATCTCGGTCTTTGACACCGGAGCTGCAGCTGTACCTGAGAGAAGCAAAGGAAAAAAAATCTTCATAAATTTGAACGTTTGATTTGGTTAATTGGTATATTTTCAATAAATGAAGTTTGAACTGAATAAAATCAAACACAAACTCACTGGAGTCTTTAGAGGTAACAGAGGAGTTGATGTTCTTTTTCTCTCCAGTTGTGTTGTTTTTAAGTTGTGGACCCAGAGCAAAGCCCTGCTGGGTGGCTTTAAGAAAGATGTCAGCCACGGTGAGCAGGAACTCCATGCTGGCACACAGGTACACATCCTGCACCAGTGTGTCTAAAACGGTGCCTTCGTGCCCCTGCCGGTAGTTCACCTCCACCATCGTGTTCTGCTCTGCACCTGGCCGCATTGCCATCATCCTGGAAGAATAAAAGAATATCACAGTTTCCTATGGGTAAGACACTGAAGGCTTGAAAAAATAAAGACAACTATTTCTTTAAAGGCTTCTGTCTCAAACCTTGGGGTGACCATCTTTATTTTTGGTCTCTTGTCATCCAGGAGGCACATAGAGAGTCGGACCGAGGCCTTCATGGAGCTGTCAGAGTACATGTAGACAGAGGTGGAGATGGTACCCAGAGTAAATTCTGCCAGCTTCAGCTGCTCATCGTGAAGGTCTAAGAGTTGTACCTATTAATCAACAGTGAAATTATTCACAATTTAAAAGAAAAAACAGTTATACACTTTTTCTTTTTGTTAACATTTTACACACCACATTCTCATTAGGGCTGTACAGGACCACCGTCATGGAGTCAAACTTGAAGTCCAGCTTGAGTGTCGTCTTTAACTTGATGCGCTTCTGAGTCTCCACCACAGCAGCTGTCACCACGGTGTTACCTGCATCAATGTCATCATCGCACAGCTTTTAATTGTTGGGTTTTAGTTTAAAATTCAGCAAGAGAGGTGCCTTTTCACGTGTTAAAAAACACTGGTGTTTTTTTTTGTGATCCTGACCTGCTTGTTACATTAAAATTGTTTTTATTCTGTTGACAAAACAATTCAGCTCCTAAGATTTTTAAGCATATATTATATATTTAAATGTGTGTGATCAAATCTACGTACTGCTAGCAGGTCCTGAGGCTCCTGAGTTCTGGGACTCTTTGTTGGATACAGAGTCAGAGGAGCGATCAGGGATGGGCAGAGTAGCTGGAGGCTGAACAGCATCAGATTTCTCTGAGAGGTTCTCGCTCAGAGTTCTCAGGACAACGATCATGTCATCCTGGCAGAGGATCAGCTGTCAGGAACAAAAACAGAAATATTTCACATGTAAATAAAAGAAATGACCAGATAAGGATTATAGGGTTGGGCATTATTGGCAAAAACATTAATCACGATTAATTGTGGTATTTAGCCAATAATGATTAATTTGACGATTAATCCCCTGGGGTCCCTGAACACTCTCATGTCCTGGTCACATGACCAATTTAGTGGGAAAGATTTGCTCTTCATTAAAAATCTGTTCCAAATTGTGTCAAAATTACAGACTTCAGGCTAAACATCAAATTTAAAACTGTGTTGATAGATGAATAAATTACAGAACTTTTTTTTCAATGTTGGTTATATTTGAAACAGAGAGGAGCATTGAGCGGACTCTGCCTGGGGGCATTAATCGTATTAATCGCCAAGTGCCAAAAAGTAATCAATTAATGTTTTTCTGACAATTAATTGCACAAAATACRAATATGCCCAACCCTAAAGGATTAATAACAAATTGATGATAACTAAAAAAAAAACAATGGCTGTGAGCATGTAAATGTTACTTTTTGATWAATTTCTTTGTCATCCAACATTACTACTCACACTCATTGGCTTTAGATGAGCAGTGATCTCTATGTCAGGGATGCTGTGGTACCAGTTGGATGACAGATTTCTCTGTATTTCCAAATACAGGCTAACCGGCTTCAAAACTTGCATCTCTCCCTTAAAACCCCCATTGACATACTTGGCTCTGAAAGCAACAACATCACAACAGAAATAATGAAGCCATAAACAAAAAGGTATTTTTTTTTAAATGGTGTGTTTCCACTGAGTGTTTGTCTCTGACCTGTACATCTTGAGATCGGTAAGTTTCACAGTCATTTTATCCACAACAGGTGGGATTTTAGCATCACTTTTACAAGGCTGCATGGCGAAACAATTCTTGACAGTCAGCTGACCAAGATCAGCTACAATGACGTTTGACGAAGTGGACGACTGGGGGAGGAAGATAACTGGTGCATTGAAGTGGACGTCAAGGGCGATTCGAGAGCTCCGCTCGGCCAGTTCCTTCACACCTGAGGCTGCCTTTTCTGCAGCCTGGACTGTCACCTCAGCCAGGGCGTCTTTTGCCTCCTGAAAATTATTGATAAATGCCTGGGAGAGGGAAAAAAGTAATTAGTAAAAAAGYAAAATGAATTTATGGGAACCTCAACTGAAACACCATAATATTAATTTTAGTAACTCTTTGTCTAAGAAAATGACATTAAATATCATCAATGTAAAAACTCTTTGAAGTTTTTAAAATATTAGATTCTTACCAGTATGGAGGACACAAACTTGTTGAGGAAGATCACCTTAATGCACCCCACCGACAGTGAGACGCAGGTGTCAACTTTAGACATGTCTAGATATGCATCTCCTTCTGTTGCACCAGTATAGTTTGTCATCCGGAAGGAAAATACTTCCTTGTCATCAATAGAGACAGCCTGAGCAAAGAGTCAGAAATAATAGACCACACTTCCAAAATATAACAGCAGACTGTAATGATTACTGAACAAGTAACTAATACAAGTATTATACGACTGAATTAGCAGGTTCTACCTTCTTGTAAATGGCATCACTGTTGCAGTCCAGGATCACAATGTTCTTCAGGTTGGCTAGGATCTTCATCTCCTTCTTCCTCATCAAGACCTCAGAAACCAGACCTGGGTCACAAAACAAGAACAATTTCTGCATATAGTAAAATTTTTAGTTTAAAATATCCAAGTCATAAAAGGCCCGGTTATTGTCGAACCATCTAAGCTGCAACAATAATATTTTGGTAATTTTATGTGTTGTAAGTTATGCAAAGACTACAATAAATAAAGAACTTGCAGTGATAAAAAAATGTGATATCTTACCTTCAATACCAATCTCAGAGACTCTGGCTTTCTGTCCTCGAATGAACACTTTCAAGCAGCGCAGATCGGCTCTGATATGAAGATTCACCACATCTGCATACTTTGACTTCTTTAAACCTGAAGGTGATGGAAGACAAAGGCAATATTCAGGATGCTTTATTACTTTAAACACGCAAACGAACATCGGTTTTGTGATGATAGTTACTCTTTTTCCTGGTGACAGCAGCTTCCTCCTTCTTCCCCTCCTCCTTCACTTCCTCTCCCTCCTCCTCCTCCTCCTCGGGGATGGTGGGGAGCTCCTCACCTCCCCCTTCCTTCTTGGCAGGTGGAGGAAGGAGATTATTGAGGAAGTTCATAGTATTGAGGAGAGCCTCTGTATGCAGATGAACATCCAGGGACGAAAAGGTCACCTGATGAGAAAAATGTAAACACACTGAGTGAGACAATTATATAACAGAGCGTACATTTCCTGTGCATTATAACAGAAAAAACTAAAAGCAAAGAAGCTTTTTAGATTGCAATTTTAATGGTAACAGCTAGGTGATAACAGTTTTCTCACCTTGATGAGCTGCTCTGTATTGTTATGTTGTGTTTTGAACTCAGGACCATTCTTATCAGCCTAGAAAGTAAAGCCCAAAATATAAAGACTATTTTCCACAACTGAATATTTACTTAAAAATGAATGATGAACAGTTTTAAATCAATGCAAGCGAGCAGAAGTACCTTAGTATACTCTAAGGTAAGCAGGTCAACTTCTGAATTATCTAAAGTGGTGATCAGCTGAACTTGCTTATCCTCAGAATCTACAAAAAAATTCAAATAAAACAAATTAACCAAGAAAATTAAAAACTGAAGCCGGATAACAAAAGAGAGTTTCCAACTTATTTTAAATAAAATGTTTTTGATACCAAATAATGACTGCAGGTTTCTACTGACCCATGTATTCAGGACACTTCAGGCAGATTTCTCGCAGGTAGATGTTGGAGACCATGTTAAAGGTGCACAACTTTAGTTCAGTGCCGAGTCCCTCTATATCCAGGTGGAGCACCGTGACCTCTTGACCTCCAGACATTCGACACAACTGAACAGACAACTGAAGGGAAAGGACAAAAAAATGTTAGAAAAGAGAAAATTGTCCTGATGCATCTCAGTAACCCAAGTAGAAAAATCAAAAAGAAAAAATAAGTAGGTCCTCTGGACAGGTTATTTTTTAATGAAATGTTTCATTAAAGAAGAACCCATCCAAAATTATTTACAAGTACAGGCAAACATAAGCATAAAATAACTCAAAATACTGATACTCAAAAATATATTTGTTTTTATTGTATTTAATGTCTGAAAATGACACTAAAACTTTACAGAAAACACCACAGAAATAACATAATTTTAATCCAAGTAGCTCAAGATACACACTGTTTCCCACAAGTTTAACAGAATTAATCTTTACCTCATTGATCTCAAACTTCATGTTCAAGTCAATCATGTTCTTCTGAGGATCTTTGAGGAGGCTCTTTTTTTTGTTTAAGTCTCCGTAGCGCAGAGGCATGGCATTGTCTGCGAAGAACGGCTTATCTCCGATGGGAGAACTGGGAGCGTCGTAGAACAAATCTTCCTCTGATCCTGTGATGTTTCAGAGATTAAAAAAAACATTTCAGTTGCTTTTTATCCAATTTGCAGCAACTTTTGTCATTTTATACAAAATATACATCAGGCACAAATGTGCTATACAGTCTCACCAACAGATGGTAATACACATGGTTCTAGCTAGAGTTAAATAACACTGGAGTGAGCAAGCAAACATTAAAACTCTTTTACTTTTCTATTTAGTAGATGTTAAATATTAGCCAAAATATTATTTCCATTAACGTTTATAAAAGGTTCAAAAAACGGCGGCTTTGACCACCGAGTTACCATGATCCACAATCACCCAGTAATTAAGCTATCACAACCAAAAACTACATACAGTAACAATGCAAATCAAGATGTACAGTTTAAAACTTGTTTGTTTTTGTGTGTGTACAGCTGTGTCTCACCCAGTGAGGAGATGCTGAGCGTGTCACATGACTCAAAAATGACAGACGAGCGCTGGTCGGCCAAGTTCAGACGTTTTCTGGGAGTGAGCTGAGGGGTGAACGACTGCCTGGACTGAGGAGACAAAACGATCAACTTTAAAAATGATACAGTGAAATCAGAAGGACTTCAATAAACTTCAAAACTCCTCCGAAGTCTTGTGGATGTTTATTCTAAACAAATTTATTATTCCCCAAGGCAAWTTATCTGATTTTCACTAAATGTTCAGGAAGACATTTAGTCATTTTTTTACTTTTTGATTTGAAGCAGGAGTGCTGCGTGCAGGTTTGCTCTCAGGCAGTGGGATACTGTCGACCAGCTCCAGAACACTTCGAAGTTTAGTATCAGAAATTCGAAGAGACAGCAGAGGAAGTTCTCCAGACATCTCATATCTAAAACACAATTAAAGACACAGAAATGTGCTCAAATAAAACACCCCAAAACTGTTATTTTTCTTCATCCGGAAAACATACTTGCTTTATTTCTATTTATGGTTACCTGTAATATTACTGTTATGTCCCCTCAGTGGAGATAAACCTTTGACTGTACATTAAATGTAAACAAAAGAGCAACACTCACTTTGCCATGCGGGTGTCTGTAACAACCATCGCCCTGCTGAAAACTACTTTCAGATCCACAGGCTCCAGGATGTGAAGTGGTGACTTCTTCTGTTTGCGAGCTTGTTTCCAGTCACCATCTATGAACAAAAATAATTTTTTTACATTGCTACTGGCTTTTCACACATAAAAAAGGGGGGTGGGGGGATAATGATTCTATTTGAGCTTTGCTTATTTGTGAATAAATTGATCCTTTAACAACAAACATCCTTCAGTCTGTTWTCTTCYAGGAAGTAGAATATTAAAACCAATWAGAACTAAATGTACGTTTTTCTTGTGTAAACTACATTTTCAGTTTTATTTAGGATTTACTTAATTCTGAACAGTAGCTTATATACACTCAAAAAACAACTTTAAGTCTTTATATGTCTGTATTGTTTGTACCTGGTTTGCTGTAGAGGAACTGTAAGCTGCTAAGCTGCACATCGAAGCGGTCGTACGCTCTGGACATGAGGTCTTCAAGGTTGCTGGAACACGCTGACAGCTGCGGCAGATTTTTCTTGCTTTGACTGGACATCTGAAAAGACATTATTCAAGTTTTCACAAGGTTCAAAATTTGTCTTAATAGTGCAATGTCATAAAAATAGTATTGAGTAACACAATTTAAAATGTAAAAAATAAAAAAAATGA